AGGTAGATAACCAGTCAGAAGACCCTGGTAGTAGTAATTAATTTGGTTAGGTAGATAACCAGTCAGAAGACCCTGGTAGTAGTAATTATTTGAGAGGTAGATAACCAGTCAGAAGACCCTGGTAGTAGTAATTATTTGGTTAGGTAGATAACCAGCCAGATGAATGTGATATTAGTAATTATTTGGTTAGGTAGATAGATAACCAGTCAGATGAACATGATATTAGTAATTATTTGGTTAGGTAGATAGATAACCAGTCAGATGAACATGATATTAGTAATTATTTGGTTAGGTAGATAGATAACCAGTCAGATGAACATATTAGTAATTATTTGGTTAGGTAGATAGATAACCAGCCAGATGAACATGATATTAGTAATTATTTGGTTAGGTAGATAGATAACCAGCCAGATGAACATGATATTAGTAATTATTTGGTTAGGTAGATAGATAACCAGCCAGATGAACATGATATTAGTAATTATTTGGTTAGGTAGATAGATAACCAGCCAGATGAACATGATATTAGTAATTATTTGGTTAGGTAGATAGATAACCAGCCAGATGAACATGATATTAGTAATTATTTGGTTAGGTAGATAGATAACCAGCCAGATGAACATGATATAAGTAATTATTTGGTTAGGTAGATAGATAACCAGCCAGATGAACATGATATTAGTAATTATTTGGTTAGGTAGATAGATAACCAGCCAGATGAACATGATATTAGTAATTATTTGGTTAGGTAGATAGATAACCAGCCAGATGAACATGATATTAGTAATTATTTGGTTAGGTAGATAGATAACCAGCCAGATGAACATGATATTAGTAATTATTTGGTTAGGTAGATAGATAACCAGCCAGATGAACATGATATTAGTGATTATTTGGTTAGGTAGATAGATAACCAGCCAGATGAACATGATATTAGTAATTATTTGGTTAGGTAGATAGATAACCAGCCAGATGAACATGATATTAGTAATTATTTGGTTAGGTAGATAACCAGCCAGATGAACATGATAGTAATTATTTGGTTAGGTAGATAGATAACCAGCCAGATGAACATGATATAAGTAATTATTTGGTTAGGTAGATAGATAACCAGCCAGATGAACATGATATAAGTAATTATTTGGTTAGGTAGATAGATAACCAGCCAGATGAACATGATATTAGTAATTATTTGGTTAGGTAGATAGATAACCAGCCAGATGAACATGATATTAGTAATTATTTGGTTAGGTAGATAGATAACCAGCCAGATGAACATGATATTAGTAATTATTTGGCTAGGTAGATAGATAACCAGTCAGATGAACATGATATTAGTAATTATTTGGTTAGGTAAATAACCAGCCAGATGAACATGATATTAGTAATTATTTGGTTAGGTAGATAACCAGCCAGATGAACATGATATTAGTAATTATTTGGTTAGGTAGATAACCAGCCAGATGAACATGATATTAGTAATTATTTGGTTAGGTAGATAACCAGCCAGATGAACATGATATTAGTAATTATTTGGTTAGGTAGATAACCAGCCAGATGAACATGATATTAGTAATTATTTGGTTAGGTAGATAACCAGTCAGCACTTTCATATTGGTCACCAGGTTATTTCAGTCGAGTGTCCCTTTACAGTGCAGACAAATTAAGGTGATCTTGTATGTGGCAAATTTCTTTTTTGGAGAACAGTTTGTTTTACTCCTGGCAGTTTTTTGTTTGTTTGAACTGTTGTTCTTAATATAAGATATTTCTGATAAAACAAACCCTTTCTTGGGTCCCCAGTGAGTGCTTATCAGGTCTGCAATGAACTGCAATTACTGCCTGTATTTGGGTAGCTGGGACTTTGAGCTTAAGGATTAAAGGCTGCATAAACTGTTTTTTATAGTTAAACTTGATTTTTTTGTTTTGCTTAGATTTGCATTTTAAGTGAATAGTGGCTTTTTTGAGTCTGTTTTTTTTTCATGCTGCAGACCTGGGAATGGTTTAAAAGCCTGGTAATAGTAGATCTAATTTGTGATAACAAAAATCTCATGAGTGATCAATAAGCTGAAGCTAATGCTGTAACAGGTTTATCCTTTCTTATTCAAAACAGACAACTGAAAACAGAGTTTTTCTTTGATGTTAAATACATGTAAACACTGTACATGACGACCTGATATAGTTTTTGTCTCACTAAACATTAAATGTTAAATTAAGAACTGACATTACAGCACTAGGGACACTCCCATAAGCACTCCATCCTCATCTTCAGCAGCAGGCAATGAGTTCTAATTATAATGGCATTAGTAACTGTCTGACTGTATGTATATCCATCTCGCCTTTCCTTTGATTAGATAGTTTTGGTAAATGAACATGTTCATTGCACAGGGTTATGTTTATAAATGAAGGATTTCTCTTCCCCACCACTTAAAAAGTAAAGGACTCTTGTCCATGCTTCAGGTGTATTAGGCATTTAGGGCTAGACCTATGTATTATAGAACAATCAGCACTTGGTGGGTGGTCTGGTCAAAATCACACCATCCGCCTTTACTTGCCATGACTACACCTGGTACCCACTTAATGCTTGGTCGACCTGGCAGCCAAGGTCATATTTTTAAAAAGTCTGGCTCTGTCAGAACTCAAACCTACGACCTTACAATCCGCAGGTGAGTGTCTAACCACTATACCATGGTGGCCCCCTCCCCAACCCTTATCTCTATTTTTCTATTTATTCACGCACACATACACATGCAACTACACACAATGGATCACCCCAGTGTGGGTTCCGGGACCTTATTGTGCGGAAAACAAGAATAGACCCACTGCTTTCCCAAAAGCATGTCGTAAGAGTCGACTAATTGGGGAGCTTCCTTTGAAGTCGGAGTGCATCTGCCGGAGAGGCAAGGAACCAACAGTCTGTATTCAAGAGAATGAGATCTGTAAAACTGATGCACACACAACACTCAGGTTCTGGAGCAGGACTGCAGTTCAGTAGTGGACGAGCAACCAGAACTTTCCGCCAGAGTGTACAGCTGGTGAACGCGAAGAAGAAGAAGAAGACAATGGATCACACAGGGAGTATCTGATTAAAACCTCCGAGCTCCTTACCTATCATTGGCATGGAACCAAATTTTTTATATATACCAGAATTTTTAAAAAATGAGCTGCCTGTCCTTTACATGACGTGGCAGAACCAGCCCCAACACTTTTGGTCTGTTTGTGATTTCACTCAGCAATTTTATGTTCAGTAGTATGCAGTAGTTTACAACTGCTTCCTGAACAGTCAGCTCTTGATACCACTGTTGAAACCAACGCAAAGCGGTCGTCTGGGATCGAGTCCCGTATGTCTGATTATACAGTAGTACTTATAGCCAGTTCTGTCTGTAGACATCTTGGTTGAAGCCTTGTCAATAACTGCTCTTGATGAAATCTCATTTGTTTACAAATACAAAAATGGTATTAAAAAATAGTCTTCACCGACTGTATTTATCACTTTTTAATAAGAGCAGTGACATTGTGGGAAAGGGGGGAGGGTGGAGATGTTGAGTCTGAGGATTAGAGCTGTATGGCTAGTTCCGAAATTTGTTATAACTGTTCATCAGCTGTGAAAACAGTCACAATTTTTCAAGCAAGCATTCCAACTTTGAACAAATGCTAACCGAAGGCTCAATCTTAGATGTTGCAATAATAAATAATAAATGTCAGGATGTTTGAGTCTGGGTCTGGCAAGGAGGGATACATGCAAGAACTGGTATGGCGTGTCCTCAGCCAGTGTGCTATTGGGATGATTCGTTACGAGATTTGCTTTGGAAGTCGAAGCATCCTTGGGAATGCCTGGTGTGTTACGTGTAGATTGCGTTAATATAATCTTTCAATGACTGTCTTTAGTGCCTATGCAAATACTCATAGTCTTATCTACGACTCAGTTCTAGATTTGATTTCTCATAGCATTATCTATTACCTATTACTTAGATCTAGATCTGATTTCTCATAGCCTTATCTATTACTTAGATCTAGATTTGATTTCTCATAGCCTTATCTATGACTAAGACCTAGATTTGATTTCTCATAGCCTTATCTATGACTCAGATCTAGATTTGTATTTAAACTGTCGTTATTGTAGCTTGTCTGTAAACGTCCCAGATGCAGCCTTTTCTATAGATGTCTTTAGTTTTGCATTGTCCATGACTGTAGCATTACTGAGTTCTACCCTTGAAGCAGCTCTTCTTTGATTGTTTTTGGTATAGCCTTGTGTATAAGTGTCCATGATATAGCATTGTGTCATAAAGATCTCTTGGTGTAGCCTTGTGTATAAGTGTCCATGATATAGCATTGTGTCTTTAGATCTCTAATTGTAGCCTTGTGTGTGTGTCCATGGTATAGCATTGTGTCTTAAGGTCTCTTGGTGTAGCCTTGTGTATAAGTGTCCATGATGTAACATTGTGTTTAAAGGTCTCTTGATGTAGCCTTGTGTCTACATTTCTCTTGATAAAGCCTTGTGTCTAAGATTATCTTGATTTAGCATTGGTATCAGTTCTTTTGATGGAAACTTGGCTAAGATTGTTCACTATGTGGCCTTTTGTATAAATTTGTCTTTATATAGCCTTGTCTAAAAATGTGTATGCGGTAGCTTTATCAATGATAGTCATCAATATAGCCTTAATTATATATATCCTTGATGCAGCACACAGCTTTCTCTGTGACTTGTTTCTGATGTAAGCCTTATCCTTGATTGTCTTTTGTGCAGTCTTAATTTAATCTGTCTTTGAAGCAACATTTCTGTAATTGTTTCTAAGGTAGCCTTTTTCGTATATGTCCATTACATAGCATTGCGACAAAAGTTCTTGTAGTGTATCCTTGTGTACAAAGAACTTTCTGTGTAACTTTGTCTAAACTTGTTCAATATGAAACCTTGTCTGTGACTGTCCTTAATGTAGCCTACGTTAATTATGTTAAGTGTTGCATGTGATTGCCTTGTGTTCAAGCCCTTGATGTAGCCTTGTTTATACGTTCCCATGATATGACTGTGTGCCGAATATAAGTGCCATGGTGCAGGGTATGAATGTAAACGCAGGTTCTGTAGGGTTATCAGTTGCCACCTTTGTTATAGCCATATTTACGACTACATCTCTTGTCTTGTTTAGAGTGTCCTCCTCTGCTACTTTGTCTGGCACCTCCTTTGTTGTTCCCACTGTTGCCTTGTCTAGGGCTCTCTTTACTGCTGCCACTGCTGCCTGCCAAGCGCTAGCATTGTTGACTTGCCTTGGGCCACTTCTGCTGTCCTGACCACTGTCACCCCTATGCCTACAGCCGCCACTAGTGCTGGGCTCTTGTGTACCACTACTTGTAAAATCATTCAATTTATGTAGCTTGTTATCCATCCAAATAAACGAATCACCGCAGTAGGAATATTTATACTCAACCGGCATCAGTCCTTGAACCTTGACCTCTAACACTACACGATTTGGCTCTACATGACCTTGGGCATTGATAACCTTGGCGAAGGTGACGTGGTACGCAGAAATGGGGACACCAGGTTGAATGGCTTTCATCACATAATCGATGTCCAGCACAAGTGTATCTTCTGATTTGTGATCGATATAAAAGCCGATCACCTGGCCCGTAGCGCTGACTCCAAAGTAGATGGCGGCGTCTTCCGAGTTTAGGAAAGCACAGACATATTTTGCCAGTGTGTTCCTGAAACATCTATGAAACAGGAAATTATTATATTTCTGAACACTACAAGGGATAACAAGTCTATGGTTAAGCAACAGCAAGGACAATTAAATATTTCTAGAACATGCATTTTCACTGTAGCAGCATACGAATGTGTGTCATGGACTAACTCCCAGTCCTTAAGAAAGAAAATAGGAGCGTTTGAGCTGAAATGTATTAGGGAGATTCTCAGAATATCATGGACAAAGAAGATTAGAAATAGTGAAATATTAAAAGATCTGAACCTTATTGAAGATTGGCTAATAAACAGCATCTTGTCTCGGAAGCTGAACTATTTTGGTCATATCAAGCGCCATGGCAAATAGGGAAAAATAACAGCAAAAGGCATGGTACCAGGAAGGAGTAGCAGGGGTCGACCAACATGAAGATGGGCACAGGATATACGTGACTCTTTGAATATGAAAATACACGAGTCGGGAGAGCTGACGAGAGACCAAGTTTTTTTTTTTTTTTTAGATAGACCGTGATAAGAACAACTTTCTGCAAAGATCATGATATAAGAGGATGATGACAAAGAGTATTATTGCTACAGTGACTTTAGTGCGCGAAGGCGGCACAGGATATAAAGGACACCCTGGGCGTGAAAGTTTAGGAGGCAGGAAAGCTGGCAAGAAGCTGGGTGATGTTTCTGGTGGATCATAATGTAAGAGTGGGTGATGTTTCTGGTGGATCATGGCATATGAGTGGGTGATGTTTCTGGTGGATCATGGCATAGGAGTGGGTGATGTTTCTGGTGGATCATGGCATAGGAGTGGGAGATGTTTCTGGTGGATCATGGCATAGGAGTGGGTGATGTTTCTGGTGGATCATGGCATAGGAGTGGGTGATGTTTCTGGTGGATCACGATGTAGGAGTGGGTGATGTTTCTGATGGATCATGATATAAGAGTGGGTGATGTTTCTGGTGGATCGTGGCATGGGAGTGGGTGATGTTTCTGGTGGATTACGATGTAGGAGTGGGTGATGTTTCTGGTGGATTGTGATGTAGGAGTGGGTGATGTTTGTGGTGGATTGTGATGTAGGAGTGGGTGATTGTGATGAAACGACCTCAGTGTTTTCAGAAGTTAGTATGTGTAATAATTTCTTCTGTTTATAGAGAGACAGATAATTATATTTAGTATCCCCTAAGCCCGAATACTACTAAAACCACATGGGATTTAAAATTGTTAAAATTGTACATTGATAGCTAATTTGATCTGCAGGGTACTTCAGGGGCGTGGCTTAGATCTTCTCCCGTAGGACAGGTTAAATACTACAAAGGGAAGGAGTTTATTTTGGACAATAGATAGGTACTTATACTGCTAGCATCTTAAATTTACCTCACAGTGATGCCAGCAAGCCACAAACTCAGAGCAACAGTAGAAAGTAATTCTAGCTGTTTAAGTCTTGTTTCGCTATTGCTGGAATGTTCCCAGGTATGAGTGTACATTAATTTCAATCTTTTATTCATAGGTTAGGAGCTAGCGCAGTTTACTCGTCTTTTCCTGATTTATCTAGCTATACATTCTGCTTGAAATAGTTCTTTGTGATTATTCAGTTATCTGTTAGGGAGCTGGTTTTCTACTCCTATTTCTTTTATGTTTGTATCACAAGTTTTTCAGCGTGTTTTCATTTTGTATAAGATGTGAACAATGACATTTGCTATAGTGAAATGTAATTATATTCCTTCAATTATCAACCCAAAACATGTGCCTGTACTGTGAGAAAATCATGCCACATGTTGATAGCCCAGCATGTGCTCACTGTCACTGGAAAGATAATGTTCCGGACAACCTGCACATATAAAATGGTTTAGGTTTTCGGCACACAACCTGCTCCACGTGTTCATGTAAAAAACAATGTCAGCCAGTTTTGAAGTCTGAGTGAAGACGGACAGCAGACTTAGGAAGACAACTATCATGACAGAACATGAGAGGGAAGGCAGGATATGTTAGACGTCAATGTGAGACATAAGACTTCAGCCTAAACTGGAGAGAATGTGGAAGATGAGGAGGAGAGATGTTATATATATATATATATATTTACAGTCTTGTTGCATGGCATGGAGGTGTGTCGGCACACGAAGTGATACATGCTGCAGGAGATCGCAGATTATAGAGAGGCATGATCGCCCACGCCAGTCGGCAAGGCACCTGATGATGATGATGATGAGGTAGCCGGGAGAGATCACCTGCCCTGTCTAACAATTCATTACTTAAATTAATCTAGACATCTTAAATCCCTTCCCTTCTTTCGTGGGTACCAAGTGCAGCTGTTGTGTATATATATGACGAGCCAAATATGGCTGTTTTCTTGGATATCCAGGACTTTTGTCTGAGATCAACATAGCTCGGATAATAGTCCAGTATTTCTGGTGGAGATGAAGTGTTGAGAGGAAAATTCCTACTTATCACAAAAGCATCTATCCACTTAGGGACCCACGACAGTGATGTTTCTGATAGATCGGGGTGTAGGAGTGGGTGATGTTTTTGGTGGATCATGATGTAGGAGTGGGTGATGTTTATGGCGGACTGTGATGTAGGAGTGGGTGATGTTTATAGTGGATCATGATGAAGGAGTGGGTGATGTTTCTGGTGGACCGTGATGTAGGAGTGGGTGATGTTTCTGATGAATCATGATGAAGGAGTGGGTGATGTTTCTGATGAATCATGATGTAGGAGTTGGTGATGTTTCTGCTGGATCATGATGTAGGAGTGGGTGATGTTTCTTCTGGATCATGATGTAGGAGTGGGTCATCATACTCGGAAGGTACTGCAGGGATCAAATTCCTGCGGCCGTAGACACAGAAGTAAGGAAACTGACAGATCAGCATTCAGACCCATCTACTCAGATGGTTCCGTGAAGCGCAGGTCAAGGTCAGCATGGGCATACACAGCGCAAAGAAGGTGGAAAACAATACATGAGGACAACGGCGCTTACCAGACAACCACGTCAAGCATGACAATGGAAATAGCCGCTGCTTCTAGAGCTTTAGCGTGGGTATCTGAGCAAACGGTCACACAGGCTGTAATTGTCTCAGACTTAATGAATATGCTTCTGAAGATAGCAACAGGCAGTATGCCCCCAATGGATAGAAAGCATTCAGGAATCGCACTTAACCTCCGTAATCTGGATCTACACACTGGGTCATGCGGGCGTAAAGGGAAATGAGCGAGTGGACCAACTGGCAAGCACTGCACTAATGATTGCGGGAAAAAGTATGGACAGAGCAGATATCGTCAACGCTGTACGAACTGGGCTAGTGGAGAATAAGGAATCTCTGACACTAACACGATTGCGTGACATGGGAGTTAAGCATGGTGATGCACGTCTTTGTTGTCTTCGGGGCCGAGAAAGGAGACAATTATGGGGACAATTAGTAGAAGTACTTTGGAGTGGCTGCTGCTTCGCAGAACTGAGCACGCATGGGTATGCCCAATGTGCAGTGATAACAAAACATACAATAACATCTTTTAGGGAGTCGGCAGTCCGAAACCCAAGTTCAAGGTGTCTCCTTTGTGCCAAAGAACTGCATGGCCGTTGGGTGAACAGTCGTTAACGAAGGCAGGCAGGTCATTGTAGGGGCGACGCCTGCTGGTGGATGTAATGTCCCAAGTCCCTTCCCCAGCTAATAATGAGGGTACTGCTGTGGTGACCGTTTATTAACCCTCATTTAATGCTTCAGGTCAAAATGGACGAAAGGCACTACCATCTTTTTTTTTCCTGCCAGACGGTGGCTGTTGCATTTTTGTTCCATTTGTAGACTGGAAGGATATACTTTCGTCTTTCAGCTTCTGAGTTGAGTGCATGGCGTGACACTGTGAGCTACGTGTGTTTTTCGTTGGCACAGGAGCGGAGCAACTATGGGGTGACCCGTTTGCTATGAAGTTGAAACTAGGATTACCAGATTACCAGAATCCTACAACACAAAAATAAGGTTTTAGAAGTACACACCCCTGCTTTTCCCTTTCATAGATTTATACTGGTGTGAATTGTGCAAGCTGACTGCATAGTGCACTTGGGGTTGCGGGTGGGTGGGGTGGGATGGGAAGAGAAGTCTTTACTGTAAAAGCTTTTATTCCGACACCACTGTTTTCAGTCTGTGGCAAGCTTCTGAGTTCGTAACTAGTAATACCAAATTAACTAAACGTGTTGCTTCATACCTCATGCTATCCAACAATGGATCCTCCTTTAGAAAGACAACATTTTTTTCAGGCCATTCTGGTGTTTCTGATGCCAGATAAAATCTTCTATGCGGAAAGAAGCAGGGCTCTATGACCGTAGTAGAAGTCTTCTCGCTGATCATTACCGGCTTATCCTCTTCTACGTCTGGCAACACTTTGGGTAAACGTGTGAATGAACTAGTTATCTCCGTGGTAGCGTGGACTTGTTCAGGGGGTTTAGGTTGGGCTTGAGTTTGTTTGAGCGCGGCTGATCTGTCATCTATGTGTGGGTCAAATATAACGTCGTACGTGTGGTTGTGGATGCTGTGCACGATTTTTCTCCAGAAAGTGTTCAGGGCCTGGCAAAAGAACACAAAAAAAAAAAAAAAATATACAAGTTTACAAATAACCGTTTTGGAGAGCAAATTGAAATGTATTGATTGGCAGTCAAAGGGTTAGAGGATTGAAGTAAAGAAATGAGGACAGACTAGATAATACACATACACATTTGAAACTTACTCAAGAATCGACATCACTTCTTCTTCTTTTCTCTACCCCTGGAATACCTCGCGGCGTCAGGGCAGGAAGAGATCTCTAGAACGGGCCCTTCTGTTTGCTTTGTATAAAGTACTTTTCAGTGTCACTTACCAGGGGATCTGGCTGAAGCTCAACATTCAGGGGAAGGATGAGACGGATATACAATCAGACGGTTACTGGTACCATCAGGATTGGAACTCCTCACTTGCTGCTGAAGATGGGGACTGGGCACTTTTGGGAGTATCCCGAGTGCTGTGATGTCGATACCTAATTCAACATTCAACATTCAATAATAAATGGTCTTCCGTTTGTCTCCCTAATCCATGAGGAGTATTCTTGCCATGCCGCTGCAACTTTGCTAGCCACACTAGTACATATCCTGGACAGTTTATTGGCCTGGGTACAGTCTAGTGTTGAGATGTTGATGCTTGATTGGCTCCTAGATTAACGGTAGCGCCTAGCCCAGGAATGAACACGCATAGCCCACTCTAACACACCACCAGCTAGACATCTCAGGGTAAAGAGGTTGAATCACGAAAACAGTTTTTATCATTAGGGTGACCAGACGTCCCGTTTTCGCCTGGACAGTTCCGTTTTCTAAGTAGGTAACTAAAAAAAATCTAGGAATTCGATTTAGAATATAAACAAATTTATAGTGTTATCTGTTGACGTTATTGGAATAATAGTTTTTAAGTTTTGTTAACGCCAGAAATTTGTTGATGGAAAGTTTCGCTGTATTTTTTTTTTCTGTCCACAGTGCAATTAAAGAGTATATTTTTATTTCTTGGTGACAATGGTTCAGTTTATTAAAGCATTGTTGAGTGCATTGTCAACTCAGTGGCCTGGAGAGGTAGGGGGGGATGTGATGTAATTCGGGGGTGGGGGTGGAAGTGCCTTTCTTATTAGAATGGTTTGAGTCTCCGTGGCGAGGTGGTCAAGTTGTTTGCCTTGCGCTCTGAAGGTCGTGGGTTCGTTTCCTAGTGGCGCCGTTCAGTTCACAGGGGCAATTTTTGAGCTTTTTTTGGATCATCACGGGAGCAACTGAGTTCTATATGGGATAAAACCCGGTCAGTCCACTCACCTTTACCTTTTATTTAAGTAGGACGTCCCGTTTTCAGCTCACAGTTTGAGTAGGATGTCCCGTTTTCAGATCAAGACATTAGTAGGATGTTCCGTTTTCAGA